GTGTGTGTGTGTGTGTGTGTGTGTGTGTGTGAGAGAGAGAGAGTGTGTGTGTGTGTGTGTGTGTGTATGAATGAACACATATTGTGATGGAACAAATTTAACATAAACAAAGAAGCATATACCCCACGTGCCCCCTCCACGCCGCAGAGGACGGAGCACCGCGCAACAACTCACATCGATAGAGACGCTGTCATTACATAGGCTATCTTAAACATTTATTTTTCATCAGTTTATGTTTGCTGAATTTCACCCGCATAAATGTTTAATTCAGCGCAAATATGCCACTTCATTCCCCCACCCCTATGGAGGAGTGCATGAGATCTCCCTACTTTGCATATTAACTACAGAATGATGCTGGGTGTGTTTATTATTTAATTAATCTGCTACTTCTGTTAGCTACATTTAATATACAGAAATGTAAATATAGGGGAAATAAGCCTTTGTTTTTGATTATAAAGACAGAATTACCAAACTCATAAAAAATAATTATTGAAAAATACGAAACCGTGTGACAAACATTATAATACAATTTATTATAATACGATTTATGATACAAAAAGGGGCCCATATGAATATAATTTAATATAACTGTGGCTTAAAAAACTTTTACCACATAGTAGCCTATTACAGGTTTTGTTCTTAACACATAAAAAAATATATAGTAACTTTTATTTACCCCCCCCCCCCCCTTTTTTTTTTCTGTTTACAGGGCTGTATCAGACACATCAATACTAGATGAGGATTCTGTAACTTTAAATGACCCCAGTCATCCAGTCCCAGCTGGAGGAGAAAGTACACCATGGGTTTATCTGACTGTGCCGCCCAGCATGCAGAGGAGTATCCAGAAATACAGGGAGAACCATTATGCCTTCCTGCGTCTGGTCTCGCACGAGGCTCTGGGGAGCTTCAATCCTTGGGCAATAGCAGACAGGTTTGAATCTAATGATTGCTTTATTAATAATACATCTCAATCACCACTAAATTGTGGGTTGAATTTTACCTGAAAGAGGCATGATTTGTACACTCATTTGTTATTTATGGGTACTTTGTTAGATTAGAAATCATAGAAAATCCCTTTATTTATTCCTAATCATGAGAATATGTTAATTAAAGTCTTTGACATTATGTTAGAGAAGCTGAAATTATCAAATTAAACATTTCCCTTTCTTTGTGTTTAAGTTAACAGCTTAGCCTAGATTAACTTTTTAAATTACATGTCACACATCACAATACGTTTCAGAAGCTTACATGGTCAAATTAGACATTTTCCTTTCTTTGTTTTATTTAGCCTTCAATTGAAACATTTCAGTCTCTTTTTTTTCAGTTATTCTTCTGTTAGCAAGCTAACAGCTTAGCTTAGCTTAATCTTTTTAAATGACTTCACATATTGCATATCCAAAGCTAAACTGGTCAAATCAAACATTTTCTTTTCTTTTTTGTTTTCAGTTAGTTATCTGTTAGCAGAGCTTAACAGCTTAGCTAACTAGCATAGCATAGCATAATGCTAACTGGCTAAGAACAGCCCTTTAGATTAGCTTGAACAAAATATTAAGATAACACCTTTTTAATTAGGTATCAAGGAAGGGGGATTCAGCAGCGGAAAAGGACTACACAGGCTCATTAGAAAAATGTGCCTCTATGTAAATTTTTGCAAAAAAAATTCGAAAACTACCTATACAAATAATTCACTGCAGTTTCCAGCTGAAGTGAACACTAGTGGGAGTAAAACGCTAACAACTTTATTCCTTTTCACACAAATTATGATTACAATAGCAGATTATTAAAAACTTTTTGTGTGCATGGTTACTAGCACAATACTATGTTGTGACCTCAAAACGCTTTTACCATAGCGCATGATTGTTAAACTAATACATTTGTCAATTTGCAACACACAACCAGGGCCATATGTATAGCTTTTCTGATGTAGTAAACTTGCTCAGTAGCACACCTAGTATAGCATCATTCTTTTGAAAAAGAGCATTAACCTTTTAGCACCACTTATCGGACATTTCATTTCCAAACTGCCATGGTACATAAAACATTACTAGATTCATGTTCATCTATTTAAGATAAAACTGAATGCACTTTTAGCACCACTCGCTGGACATTTTACTTTAAAGGTGTTGCGAAATGCAAGAAACATTGTAATATAATTTTGCATAAATGACACATCAGGCACAGACTGGATTGGAAAAGGATTGTTCATGACTTTGTTTTGTTCATTTCACCACCAAAATTTGCAAATGAGTCACGACACTTACCCATTTAGATGTCATTATCTGCATCTTAAAGAAGTGACTTCAGTAAACAACTGAACTATGTGTGTACTGAAGCTGCAGTGCGCATGCGGCCCATAGACATCTAACCTAAATTAGCTCTTACTCATTCATCACTGATATCTACAATTTCCTGACATATTTTCATTATTTTGTTTATGCTCAAGACATGTTCCTGGATTTATAAACACTAAAAGCTCAGCTCTTCTATTTGCACCCAGAGCAACAGCAGATTAATCATAAGCCCCAGTGCATTTCCCACAGTGACACAGCTAGAAGGAGTTGAGATTGTTTACAGCCTCGTGGCTATAATGAGCCTCGCACACGATGCCATTTTAAATGTAAATATTAGCTCTGTTTTTTGGTGGGTGCTAATGTAGAGCGTGCTCCTGTGCAAATGAGCGTCTTTGTTGTTCCGCTAGTGCTCCTGCACGCCCACCTCGCCATTAGCATACTTAACAGAATTTTTAAGTTGGTGCAATGCGGTGGATATTTATCAAGTCCTACTAGTCCACAGAGAGCACACTTTTAACAACGGTGGGAAGAGGAACACAAAAACCATAATATGATCCTAGTGCTTAGGTCTCATCTGTCAGACTTGATCCTCGCGGCATGGGCTGTGTGGGTGGTGAGAAGAATTGTTGCAGAAATCATTTGCGGAAAGGAGAAAGTGAGGAATCAAAAGTGAAAATATTTTTCTGTGTGCTGCAGCTTGAAAAAGTATGAGTTATTGCATGGATATAAAAAGAAATTGAGGATTTTTTTTTGCAGAGGTCAGTGTAGCACCGCAGAGACTCTGAATGGTTATTATTCCAGAGAAATAGAGAAGATGGGAAATGTCACGGCAATTAGTGTTGCTGCTGGGAATGTGTGCGGGCACTTGTCAGTCTATGGTGCATTGTGGGTAATAAGAGCCTTCAAGGCAGTCAAGGCCATGAGTGAGCACAGACTGACCGGGCTCTCTGGGTAGCACTGCTCTTTACACAGTGGAAGTTTAAAAGCTTAAAAGAAAAGATTTAGATGATCTCATCACTCCCCTAAAGAGATAGAAAGAAGTAATTTCTATTATTTAATGCTGAGAGAGCACAAACTGTGTTAATTTTGTATTATTTATATACTATTACAATATTTATTATTTTTTCAATTGCTTTGATTTTAATATTTTAAGTTTTCATTTTAATTTTAGTTTAAGTCATTTTGTTATGTGCTTTTGTCATTTTTTTTTGTATATTTCTATATAGCTTCAAAGTTGCGATGAAACAGAAGTAGCAAGTTACTTTTCTTCCATGTCACTTTATACCAGATGTCCAGTTATGACATTTTGATTAAAAATGATGAGATCAAAACATAAAAAAAGAAAAATAATGAAACATACTCTGTATTCTCAGATGAATTGTTCACAATAAAATCTGTAACATACATTAGAATAGAAATAGAAAACAGAATATAAAAATAGGGTGATTTTTCATGCTGCCTTAAAGGGATAGTTCACCCAAAAATGAAAATTCTTCAGACGAATTGTTGAATAAAGTCATTCTTTTTTTCTTTTGCGCACAAAAAGTATTAAAATTACGGTTGAACCCCTGATGTCACATGGATTATTTTACCGATCTCCTACGTCTCTGGACTTGGGAACATTTCAGTTGTATTGCTGTCTATGCAGGGTCAGACAGCTCTCAGATTCCAACAAAAATATCTTACTTTGTGTTCCGAAGATGAACGAAGGTCTTACGTGGTTGAAACGACATGAGGGTGAGTAATTAATGACAGAATTTTCATTTTTGGGTGAACTATCCCTTTAAATAAGTTCATTTACTAAAACTGAAATAAAAATACGTTCATTTCAGTTAGTTTCCAAGGCAACATTTCTAATTAAAAAAAAAAAAAAGATAAATTATTTTTAATAGTTCGTTTTAGTTAACAGTAACAACACTGACACAAAAATATACCCAACATATTTTTTTCTCTCTCTGAATGAGGCGTTTATAATGACTAAGGGATAGTTCCATATTTTTGGGTGAACTATCCCTTTAATGTAATCAATCAATAAGTGCTGTGTGACTTTTTCCCTTGTTTCCTGCAGTCTGGCTGATGAGCTAATGGCTGAGGCTCTGGCTGATGTGGCGGCAGAGTTCCAGGATGTTTGTGAAGAGTATGCGGAAGCTGTTTTCACTTCAGAGTTCCTCCAGCCTGTCCAGTCTCCCACCACGTCAATGTCATAGAGACTCCTTATAAACAACTTAGAAGCAATGACATTTTGATATGTTTTTGGAACTGAACATCCAGGTTTATATTTTTGTATGTTTTTCCATGTACAATCACTGAATAGAACCTGCTGGTTAGAGCACGGTTTATACTCCGACGGGCATTTCTGTTGTAATGTGAAACCTCAGTGGGCGGTCTGACTTTTAAATGCAAACAGATGCTTTTTAGCACACGGCTAACAAATGTCACATTAATGTGTCATAATCCATACAACTTTCTTTGTGCATTAGTCAATGCATTAGTCCACTTTTGCGGTTGCTATTCAGCATAGACAAAAGCCTTAAAAGAACCTCTATATTATTAATGCATTGCAAATGATACGATTTTTGCTGTTTTCTATGAATACCTCACACTAGAGGTTCACACGCTTCCTTCCTCTTGAATGAGCATTAAGGGATGCAGTAATGCTGTCCACGTCAGAACACAAACTTGTTACTTTGTGGACTGATTTCATACACTCTACAACATATGTTTTGTTTCTCTGTGCTAATTGTCTTTAAGTTCACTAAGCATCCATATGTTGCCCAGCGTGATTGGACAGGTGAGGTATATTTAGAGTATGTGTATAGTTTATATGTCAGAGCCTGAGGGGAAAATGGCCTCCAGATGGGTCCAGATGTTGTGCTGGTACGCTGGGAATGTGCTTGGACAGGACAACCAGGGCCTAAGCACTGTAGAATTTACAAGCATTCATTAGGCTCTGTGTGTTGAAACGTACACGCCTACAGCTCTTATATAACTAAATAAAGCTATAATAATCAGAAAGTGCATAGTTTAGACATATTTAGGAATATAAAATGAGGGTCTGTGTCTTTTGAGGGCTTTATATGGCTTCAAAAGTATTGGTTGTCCCTTTTTTGCTTAATTCTAATGCAGTGAGCAGATTTTAGGGTATGTTTCTTAACCTGTCAAGTTGTAGTTTAAACCCCCAGATGTGAGTCACAGGTTTCTTCCCAGTGTTCAGCAACCTACTTATTTGTGAAAAGTGCCAAAAGCAAACTAATAGCACAAGTAACTGCATTTGCCAGCATATTCTAGGCTTTGTGCCATGAACTATTATGAATGCTGTGATGCTACAGGAATATAGTCACCAATTTGGCATGAACTTGTTCTTGGTTGTGTTTTTATTGCTGGTGAAAGATACCTGTTGAATCTGCATTGTATTTATAATCATGATTTAATTTATAATGAAAATAAATGTTTTAAAATGGCTCTTCCAGGCATCTCCTTTGCCTTGGCATATTTTACTCAGTGCCCTAGCTTTTCTGATGTAGTAAACTTGCTCAGTAGCACACCTAGTATAGCATCATTCTTTTGAAAAAGAGCATTAACCTTTTAGCACCACTTATCGGACATTTCATTTCCAAACTGCCATGGTACATAAAACATTACTAGATTCATGTTCATCTATTTAAGATAAAACTGAATGCACTTTTAGCACCACTCGCTGGACATTTTACTTTAAAGGTGTTGCGAAATGCAAGAAACATTGTAATATAATTTTGCATAAATGACACATCAGGCACAGACTGGATTGGAAAAGGATTGTTCATGACTTTGTTTTGTTCATTTCACCACCAAAATTTGCAAATGAGTCACGACACTTACCCATTTAGATGTCATTATCTGCATCTTAAAGAAGTGACTTCAGTAAACAACTGAACTATGTGTGTACTGAAGCTGCAGTGCGCATGCGGCCCATAGACATCTAACCTAAATTAGCTCTTACTCATTCATCACTGATATCTACAATTTCCTGACATATTTTCATTATTTTGTTTATGCTCAAGACATGTTCCTGGATTTATAAACACTAAAAGCTCAGCTCTTCTATTTGCACCCAGAGCAACAGCAGATTAATCATAAGCCCCAGTGCATTTCCCACAGTGACACAGCTAGAAGGAGTTGAGATTGTTTACAGCCTCGTGGCTATAATGAGCCTCGCACACGATGCCATTTTAAATGTAAATATTAGCTCTGTTTTTTGGTGGGTGCTAATGTAGAGCGTGCTCCTGTGCAAATGAGCGTCTTTGTTGTTCCGCTAGTGCTCCTGCACGCCCACCTCGCCATTAGCATACTTAACAGAATTTTTAAGTTGGTGCAATGCGGTGGATATTTATCAAGTCCTACTAGTCCACAGAGAGCACACTTTTAACAACGGTGGGAAGAGGAACACAAAAACCATAATATGATCCTAGTGCTTAGGTCTCATCTGTCAGACTTGATCCTCGCGGCATGGGCTGTGTGGGTGGTGAGAAGAATTGTTGCAGAAATCATTTGCGGAAAGGAGAAAGTGAGGAATCAAAAGTGAAAATATTTTTCTGTGTGCTGCAGCTTGAAAAAGTATGAGTTATTGCATGGATATAAAAAGAAATTGAGGATTTTTTTTTGCAGAGGTCAGTGTAGCACCGCAGAGACTCTGAATGGTTATTATTCCAGAGAAATAGAGAAGATGGGAAATGTCACGGCAATTAGTGTTGCTGCTGGGAATGTGTGCGGGCACTTGTCAGTCTATGGTGCATTGTGGGTAATAAGAGCCTTCAAGGCAGTCAAGGCCATGAGTGAGCACAGACTGACCGGGCTCTCTGGGTAGCACTGCTCTTTACACAGTGGAAGTTTAAAAGCTTAAAAGAAAAGATTTAGATGATCTCATCACTCCCCTAAAGAGATAGAAAGAAGTAATTTCTATTATTTAATGCTGAGAGAGCACAAACTGTGTTAATTTTGTATTATTTATATACTATTACAATATTTATTATTTTTTCAATTGCTTTGATTTTAATATTTTAAGTTTTCATTTTAATTTTAGTTTAAGTCATTTTGTTATGTGCTTTTGTCATTTTTTTTTGTATATTTCTATATAGCTTCAAAGTTGCGATGAAACAGAAGTAGCAAGTTACTTTTCTTCCATGTCACTTTATACCAGATGTCCAGTTATGACATTTTGATTAAAAATGATGAGATCAAAACATAAAAAAAGAAAAATAATGAAACATACTCTGTATTCTCAGATGAATTGTTCACAATAAAATCTGTAACATACATTAGAATAGAAATAGAAAACAGAATATAAAAATAGGGTGATTTTTCATGCTGCCTTAAAGGGATAGTTCACCCAAAAATGAAAATTCTTCAGACGAATTGTTGAATAAAGTCATTATTTTTTTCTTTTGCGCACAAAAAGTATTAAAATTACGGTTGAACCCCTGATGTCACATGGATTATTTTACCGATCTCCTACGTCTCTGGACTTGGGAACATTTCAGTTGTATTGCTGTCTATGCAGGGTCAGACAGCTCTCAGATTCCAACAAAAATATCTTACTTTGTGTTCCGAAGATGAACGAAGGTCTTACGTGTTTGAAACGACATGAGGGTGAGTAATTAATGACAGAATTTTCATTTTTGGGTGAACTATCCCTTTAAATAAGTTCATTTACTAAAACTGAAATAAAAATACGTTCATTTCAGTTAGTTTCCAAGGCAACATTTCTAATTAAAAAAAAAAAAAAGATAAATTATTTTTAATAGTTCGTTTTAGTTAACAGTAACAACACTGACACAAAAATATACCCAACATATTTTTTTCTCTCTCTGAATGAGGCGTTTATAATGACTAAGGGATAGTTCCATATTTTTGGGTGAACTATCCCTTTAATGTAATCAATCAATAAGTGCTGTGTGACTTTTTCCCTTGTTTCCTGCAGTCTGGCTGATGAGCTAATGGCTGAGGCTCTGGCTGATGTGGCGGCAGAGTTCCAGGATGTTTGTGAAGAGTATGCGGAAGCTGTTTTCACTTCAGAGTTCCTCCAGCCTGTCCAGTCTCCCACCACGTCAATGTCATAGAGACTCCTTATAAACAACTTAGAAGCAATGACATTTTGATATGTTTTTGGAACTGAACATCCAGGTTTATATTTTTGTATGTTTTTCCATGTACAATCACTGAATAGAACCTGCTGGTTAGAGCACGGTTTATACTCCGACGGGCATTTCTGTTGTAATGTGAAACCTCAGTGGGCGGTCTGACTTTTAAATGCAAACAGATGCTTTTTAGCACACGGCTAACAAATGTCACATTAATGTGTCATAATCCATACAACTTTCTTTGTGCATTAGTCAATGCATTAGTCCACTTTTGCGGTTGCTATTCAGCATAGACAAAAGCCTTAAAAGAACCTCTATATTATTAATGCATTGCAAATGATACGATTTTTGCTGTTTTCTATGAATACCTCACACTAGAGGTTCACACGCTTCCTTCCTCTTGAATGAGCATTAAGGGATGCAGTAATGCTGTCCACGTCAGAACACAAACTTGTTACTTTGTGGACTGATTTCATACACTCTACAACATATGTTTTGTTTCTCTGTGCTAATTGTCTTTAAGTTCACTAAGCATCCATATGTTGCCCAGCGTGATTGGACAGGTGAGGTATATTTAGAGTATGTGTATAGTTTATATGTCAGAGCCTGAGGGGAAAATGGCCTCCAGATGGGTCCAGATGTTGTGCTGGTACGCTGGGAATGTGCTTGGACAGGACAACCAGGGCCTAAGCACTGTAGAATTTACAAGCATTCATTAGGCTCTGTGTGTTGAAACGTACACGCCTACAGCTCTTATATAACTAAATAAAGCTATAATAATCAGAAAGTGCATAGTTTAGACATATTTAGGAATATAAAATGAGGGTCTGTGTCTTTTGAGGGCTTTATATGGCTTCAAAAGTATTGGTTGTCCCTTTTTTGCTTAATTCTAATGCAGTGAGCAGATTTTAGGGTATGTTTCTTAACCTGTCAAGTTGTAGTTTAAACCCCCAGATGTGAGTCACAGGTTTCTTCCCAGTGTTCAGCAACCTACTTATTTGTGAAAAGTGCCAAAAGCAAACTAATAGCACAAGTAACTGCATTTGCCAGCATATTCTAGGCTTTGTGCCATGAACTATTATGAATGCTGTGATGCTACAGGAATATAGTCACCAATTTGGCATGAACTTGTTCTTGGTTGTGTTTTTATTGCTGGTGAAAGATACCTGTTGAATCTGCATTGTATTTATAATCATGATTTAATTTATAATGAAAATAAATGTTTTAAAATGGCTCTTCCAGGCATCTCCTTTGCCTTGGCATATTTTACTCAGTGCCCTTGATGAAATTGCTTTTTTTTTTTTTAAAGAAAAATTAGATTAATATTATCCATTTTTTCATGCGTCCAGCCAGTGTAATCAATGTTATCTATATTTCTGTTTGTCTGACCTGCAGGCTGTTCTGCTGCTGCTTTTACCAGAAACACAATGCAATGTTTGGAGTCAGAAGTGTTTTGTCATTGGGTTTCCTGACTGCTACAAATAGGTCAAGTCCCTAAAGGAGTGGAGTAATGCAACATGGGCAGTTCCCTAGAATTGAAGAACTCCAGACTTCACCTCTATCAATAGTCATTTAGAACTACTCGAGAACAGTTATTTGGGATACCTGATGTGCAGTAACGCCATACATTAGCCTGGGGTGAGAGCTGGATATAACTTGTGGCTTGGTTTTTCATGCAACACAGAACACTTATCATAAAGACAATTAGCTGTTAAACATGTTTGTGGAAAGTGCAACATATTTGGCCTTGATTTTGTCATTTTGTCTTCCAATTACTGTTTGACAGCTACCACGAGAATCATATTTTATAGTCATTACAACCCAACATTAATCAGCTGAACTGCTGTTGGATTTACTGTGACGGAGTATTTAAAAGCCCGAGGAGGAATCACAAAATGGTGATTTATGAAGAAGCCAACATTTTGCATCTTCATCTTACTATAGGACTACAGTGATATACTGCCATTGGCAGGGCGAAGATATTTATATTTCTGTTTTCAACTGCACAATGCGTTTTGCACTTCTGCTTTCACAATAAAGATATTCAGTTTGCCTACAGGCATGTATGGACAGAGCCTGTGGTCCCTCAGCTAAGCAACTGTTGTTTGTATCACACTGACGATTGAATGAAAGCTATACCGTAGGCCAAATTTTGAAGCATTTTAGTGATTTTTAAGGTAATTGTCAATGTTGTTTGGCCCTTGTTGAAAGTTTCCTTGTGGTTTCTTTTTGCAACAGTTTCAGCTATGATCTCAGAGGGGTTTTGAATCATTCTTCAATTGTGGTGACATTCTGTCACTCACTTTTAGATACCAAACGAAAACAACCAAACTGCAACACACACAATTC